TTTTATGTTGAGATAGAGTGAAGTAGATATAGTAGTAGGAGTAACTGAGACATTAAATTAACAGACGAAGAAGTTAGAATAGCATGGAGAGAAAGGATTAGGGTGCCAATTCTTTGGGTAATAATTGAAGAGCTCCCGCGGAAAAGCATTTAAATCGAAAATAGTAATTTTACAGAAAAAGCCAAACACTGTTTCAAAAACAATTTACTCATTACTTACCTATAGATAATAATATATTTCTTAACAATTTACTGCTCATCTAGATTCTAATGTTTGAGTATAGATATTACACAGTTTTTTTTTTTTATAAAAACTCATCAAATTTACAGCTCGTTGTACGCTTAATTATGTCGTTCAAGTCGAGAACATAATGTATATCTCTGGAAATTACACTTTAACCGCGAAAAATGATTAAAGTCTGGATTAAAACTATGATAACTCGTTATAGTTAATAATTCGTTAAAGTCGCCAACGCAAGGGTTCGAATGATATCCAATTACAGCGTTAGGCATCAACTCAATGATTAAATATTTACTCGAGAAAGTTGAGTTAATCCAATAACCGTGAAACGTAATTTTATAAATTGGATATAATATAATAGTTCTAACAAAAATCATTCTAGATTCAATAATTACTTCGTGGGTTCGATTCAAATAAAAAAATGTAAACTTTAATAATAATAAAATTAAAAAGTAGTTTTCTAAAATGTACAGGAGTAAAAAGTGCAATTAAAGTGTATATAAATTAACTTCAGAAACGTATCTATTTTTATTTTTAATAAAATAACTTTTTAAATTAATTTTTCTTTTTAGGGTAAGTCTTGTAAAATTGTAGTTATGAATAGCGAGAAGGTAAAACTATCACTCAGCCCTTTGCTGAAATATCTTGGTCTTTTTAAACACTATCTTTCCAGAAAGTGACTTTGATAATTATCATGATTAAAATAAATTATATACTTGATTCATAAAATAAAATAAAAATATATCGATGTTATATCAAGGTAAATTATTAAATGCTGCTTCTACCTTTTTTAATGTAAACTATCAGGTTGTAATAAAAGTCTTTAGTCACAGTGTGAACTCACCTAAATATTATGATAATTATTTTTTGTATTTTAACTAAAATATATTATTTATAAAAGTATCAATTCTTAAGACTGTAACTGAGGTTTTCTATTACAATCTGATCGTTAATGTAGGTATTACAAAAAGTGGAAAAACGTATTTAAAAAACAGTACAAAATAATATCATTAAAAAAACTAAAAATTAAACCGTAAACCAAAACAAACTTTTTAACCAAACAAACACAACAAATAAAATACATTTTTAATTTGCTTGAAAAAACACATTCTTAGAACGTATTAATAATAAATATCAGTAAAAAGAGTTTATAAAATTATAACAATAAATCTTTACAACAATACTAATTAATTTCTAGTACAAAACTAGAACTATCAGTTTAAAACCATTTAAATTTTAATACAATTTTATTTTTTAATTATCATGAATATAAATTAACTTGGAATATTATTTTAGTGATTTTGTGTTACATCAAATCTTTAGTGTTCTTATCTTGTATCGAATTACTAGGTACTGTTCACTTTTTTATAATATAAAATAGGTACTAAAATCATTGCACATACACCAAACTAATTTTTCTTAAGTTTACGAAAGTATTTAAGAACATTAAGTGAAAACTGGACGGTATTTTTTAAATATTGGTAAATAAAACAAACGTTTTCCATCCTATGTAGAATTTTACACATTTTGTTTTAAAATTCTGCTTTATGGTTTTCCTCGACGAAGGAGGAGATTAAGTATAATAATATGACCACTCTTGTTGGCGCTGTACACATATTTGAGAAATAAAGCAAGACTTACATAATAGGTACGTTAAAGCTGTGATACGCTGCCTTATTAATTTAAACGCACTGGGGTAGTGTTTGTATCGGTTGTGTGAGTTTGTGTTGTAAATATTGGGTCTTTGGTATGTAAACATACATGCTTTTATAATATGCTGAACCTATCAAATTAAACGGAGGGGGGGGGGTCGATGAGTATAAGGAAAAGAGAGAGCAAGTATAAACGAGTTGTGGATAATAATATATAAATTTGACCGTTTGTATAAAAGGTATAACGTGTTGAAGGCGCTGTTGAGATGTTAAAAGTAACGGCCTTTTTCGAAAACATTAAATATCAGATCCACAACAACCCCTTTTGGTTTTATGATGTATAGAACACCACATAAAAGGTCAATAGCTTACATAATGAAATGGCGTTTCGCTCAAGCTAACCTGTGTTTAATTAAATTAGTGGATTTTTTTTTTTTTTTTTTATGACAGTCAAGTGGTTGGTAATAATTTTTAGAACGACGCGTTGGCAAAACACACTTCAATCCACTAACTACATTTTAATTTAATAATACATTATGTTTATTATAACGTTATATAATATTATATAATAATATATTAGTAATAAATAATGTTATTAGTACTTATTTATCATCATATAGGCTAACGAGCCTTGAAGACCCAACGCAGCTCTCATGAGATTAACTATTTATATACTATTCACGTATGGGTATTTAAAAAAATACTTTGAATTGAAAAATGTATTATATATATATATATACTTTTTAACTATTATAGATACTCAATAGTAAAAATTGTTTAAATGGATAACTGAAATTTAATAATAATCTACATATTATTATCATTTATATTAACAATATAATATACTGAATATTATTTTATGATGGCAGTTTGCACAAATACAAAGAACATTGTTCTTGTTACAAATCATGATTATACCATGAAAACTGAGAATTTTTGTAACACGGTGTCATTATTAGAAGAAAAAAAATTATTATACGATATAGGATTCTATAAAACAACTAAGCGTGTTAGATAACTACGTCATAAAAAGTGTCATAGGTAACTTCAAAACAGTCCATACCGTGTTGTGAAAATAATGCCGGTTCATACTAATATATGGGTCATTCCATTATGAAGACAACACAACAAAATTTCACTTAAATTAAACATTTTGTAAAATAAATAAAAATCTATTTATACGATTTTTAATTTTGGTGAGCGTTTTCGTGTGTATTTTGCATAAGTTAAACAAAACCAAAATGTTTTATTAAAATTAAACCTTAAGAATTTACCTTCTATTTAATTTGCAACATTTTACGATAACATTTCCCCCATTTTTTCTATACTTATTTATATTTTTGAACTTTAAATAATCCCCCCCGCCTCCAAAAATGTTGAAATAAAATATCCAAAATATTCATACATATTATGGACATACATATTGACCTAACGGACAATCAAGTCACAATTTTGGAACAACAAACATTATCAATATCAATCTGGGTTTGAAATAATTAGTGACGAGTTCTATTTTTTTTTATTCTTAAAAATGTATTTTACAAGCGTTTCTCTATTTTTACTTTTAACAGTTTTCCTGAAATATAACATATTTTATATCGTTTTGCTACACCTTCTCTGCACCGCGTATACTTTTTTATTGCAATTAAAATGAAAAAACAAATTATATGTCCTTATACAAGACAATATGAACTCTTGATTGATGTCTTTTGTGTTGTATTATCTGATCGTAACCGTTATGTTGGCAAAAAAAATGTACATTACAATTAGGTAAAAAGGATGTAAAAATTGTACGAGATTCGATAAGGGCATTCACGGTATTGTCTTTTCGAGCACTTGCCGGGCTCTAACATTCTAAGAGGATATTTTTTTAAAAAAATGTTTTTGATTTTGCAATTCCCTTTGAAATTGTCACGAAAAACCCCTACAAAAAAAGAGAGGAGGGATTAAGAAGAATATAAGAAATAAAGGAAAAATAAGCTGATAAGAGATATGATAATATTGTGATAAAAATAATTTATTTTAATTAGTATTAGTTGCGTAAAATTTACTTAACAACTATGTTTGTTAAGTATTGCATTAAGGATTATTGTGATTTCGACTTTTTCCAGGAACTATTAAAAAATGATTGAGCCTAATTAAAAAGTTAGTGTATTTTTAGTAAGAAGAAAAAGTAATTCTGTAAATTATTGTCCCTTTGGTTGCAAATAGTTAAGTTCAAGCCAATAAGTATTCCCTCCTCGCCTTAACAATTAATAACTCATTTACGTATTGCAATTTACAGCAAAAACAAAACATATCTATGTTCAATCATTTTGCAAAAGCATTCTAGAAGTATTTTTTTTTAGTCATTTTGATCACAAGAATCGCTAAATTGCTCATATCTCGTCAAAAATACGTTTTATAGAGTTCACATTTGAAAACCGCCTCGTACAAACTCATTATTTTAATTTATATTTTTATGGCATTTCATTGTTTTTTTTAAACCCTGAACGCCATCTACTGGATTCGAGAGGAGTCATACACTAACAGGAAGAGTCATCTGTGAGTAATCATTATGGCGTCGGTCTCACTTGTGAGTTGGCCAACAGATGTCGCCTCTGATATGGTTTTGAGACTTTACCAAATTTAAGCCAACATATTATGCTAAACATAATACTATTGTAGAGACCGAAACATTTTTTAATTTTTTATAAACATAGTCTAAATCACCTTAAATAATTTACGCTTGAAATCGCTTTAAATAAGCACTCTTCATGTAGTTTAATTGGCTCTTTTCGGGCAGCCTAACCGAGAGCCGGCCCCAAGTAGAGCATTTCCGGCTCTACAAAGAGGCTAGAGATCATTTCCACGGCGGCCAAGTCATAGCGCAACTAGAGAGGGGAGGAGCTAGAGAAGATAAAATCCTTGTAATATGTTATCAGGTTCTCAAAAACTGTAAGCGACCAATACGACATAGCTCCCAAGACGCATTTTAAATTTTTACCAAAATTTTGAAGGAGTTATAAGAGTTAATAATGGATCTGAACTTGGAACTGCAACCATCCCCCCTTCTAGTTGCACCAATGGGCCAAATTCTGTTAGGGAGAAAAAATAAACGTCACTCACCTCCAGGTCAAGTTGACGTGATGCCATTTTTGGCCTTGCAGAGCGAATCGTTTGCTTCGTCGTCCTTGGCTTGAAGGAATGACATCCCGAATTCCGCAACGGGGTTTCTGCATAAGTTCTTTGGTGGCATCGTCCATTTGACCGGTAACCGGAACATTTCCAAACCACTAAAAACGGAATCGAATACAATAAAAATCAATACACGAAGCCGAATTCGAACAAAATCAACGCAATTACCTGAAGAGTCCGCAGAGCATCGCGCAATTGGTCTTCAGTTCTTAAATTTCCGGTTTCCAAGTCCGATTCTGGTAGGTAACCGAATTTTGTCAAATACCCTTGCTGAAAAATTAGTAAAAAAAAATCAAAATGTAAAATGTTGTACAAGTCAAGTATGTATTTCCAGTAGCCGCCAGTTGTTAAAATTTGAAATAGTTTAACAACCGGGGTTACATTTTTAGTGGTTACCTAATCTAATGTAATCAAAAATTATAATTAAAATTGCGTTACACTAAATTTATTTTGCGAGTAAAAAATGCACTTTTCTAAAGATCTGAGCGGTTTTAGCGTAAAAGTATAAGTGGGATTAAGTTATAATCGCAATTACACCCTATATTATTAGGTGTACAAAGGCTCTTTTGATGATGGTCAAATGCGATAAAAAATAATAATAATAACGACGGAATGCTTGTTTATTTGAATTTACTTAATAAAAAAAAAAGTTAAATTTAATATTTAATGCTTTTAATGTATATATATATATATACTATACTATAACATTATACATTTATTATGTAAAAAGTATAAAAGCGGTGCCTTATTAGGACAATCGTATAAAATATAGATTTATTGAATCCAAAGCCCTTTTATTGTGTTCGTTCTTGGTTTTTTAAAACACATCAATAGGCATTATAAAATATATTACAATGCTTTCTTGTAGACCTATCATCTACGTAATATAGCTGCAGGAAATATATTAAAACAATATAAACAAATTTAATGTAATTACATTTTAGTGTATTTCAATATAGTTACTAGACAATATTAATTTAATTAAAATGTCAGGTTCATATTAATCGATAGAGATAAAATTGTCTTCTAACTGCTAAGGAAAATAACACATTCTTAAGAGTTCCTCCAACTAAATATTAAACTACATGCTTTTATTTCTAGACCTTTAAGTGATAAGTCGATAAATTTAGTTTTTTTTTTACTGCAACACTATTGTATTATACTAAATAATGAAATATTAATACAAAATCGTATAGATCAACTAATCAGTAAACATTTGTCACCATTTATGTAAATGTAAAAACCAGCATTGTAAATAAAATTGTATTATTTATGACCGAATAAAAATAAATTATTATTCGTTGATAAATGATAAATATTAGAATAGAATTATTAATTCATAAGTACATATTTATTTTAATAATTATGTTGGGATATAATAAACTGGTAGACTAAAGAATATCGCAATGGAATGCTCAAATGTTATGATTTGAGGGAGGACAATTCATTTAAACTCAGATTAAGGACCACCATAATGTATATTTTTACCCTGCAATTTTTTATTATTTGTCCAAAAAATATATTCTTGCTATTATAAAAGGTATTGCGAATTGGCAGTTTTTCTAACAAGCTCTTCACTATTGTGTTGATCGCACGTTCATTGTTGTTTACAATACTATTTTTTTTTTTAAGTTTTCATTGTCATACCAAAAAAATATAATAAAGAAGGAATGAAACAATAAGACCCTCGTCTTTTTATTGAACGTGAGTGAGTCACTTTTATTCGCCATACGGGCGACAAAGGGATTATAATGTATAATATAATATTTTACTTTGGTCGTCTGGGAGTATCTTTTTTTTGGCTCCTCCGATGACGTGGCCGAACAGTTATACCCAAACAAAGTCACGTGTGAATAATATTTCAATTGGTACGGCCACTATGATGTACATTTGGCACATACAAAAAAAGTAGATATATCATAAATAAGTTTTCCGTACAAAAAGAATAACCTATACAATAGTAATAAAACAATAAGGTCACCTTGCACAATGTACATCATAATATTATAAATATAATTATTTTAATAATAGATTGCGCACGATCGTCTTAAAAATTATTGTGTCTTATCTAGTGCGGCGCGTGGCTTTTCTGAGATTCGACCAAAAAAATCTTCATAAACGCCACGTGCCATGACTTTCTTAGGATCTGTCGCGGCTGACTAATAACATTATTTAGGACAATCAAATAACAATGTTATTACAATATGTAACGTCCGTGGTATGATTAAAAAATCCATATGGTTTCGACGAATTAAAATTTCTTTTTTTTTTACTCTGTATAATTAACTCGATAGTTTGAAATTGTTTTTGTTTTTTTTTTTTTTAATGACATTGGAATCGAGATAACCGGGAAGTACAATGAGTCAACTCGGTGAACGTGAACCTATGGCTGTAGGAAATTACTATGAAACACCTATTTTGTTCAGAAGGTAAAGCAATAGTTCCGGTCGGCTCGAATTTAACAAAATCACTAGAAAGTGTCTAATTAAATGTGATTATTCAGAGTAGTGGGAGCTCTAATGTGTCATACAGTTATTGTGATGAATCTATTGCATGTGATTTGTTCAATTTGTAGAGCGAAAAGTATTTGAAGAGTACAAGAATAACAGAAGATATGTGCATGTATCAAAAATTCCTGTCAGAGTTTGCAAGAACATGGTTTTTTTGGTATAAATAATCCCAATTAAAACTATATTTTTGGTCAAACAAAAACCAACCACTTGTTTATTTTGGGAATTTTCCATGTAAAACATTTAATGATTGTATATGACTCAATGGTTAAAATTAATTAAATTAATAGGATTAAAAATGTAGTATAATAAAATAGATATTTTGTGATGTGATTTACTATGACACCCTGTTTTAAATGTTTTCAAGAAACTTTTTTTCTTGAAACATTGACTTTTATTAGGCTTATTATAGTTATATTTATAAATTTAATATAATATTGTATAAAGACGAATACAGTTAGTTATTTTATTCCATATGTAATTATTTAATAGTATATTTTGCAACATAATGCATCAACACCATACGTTATAAAAGTGGTTGATAAAAAAAATTTAGGACGTCCAAAAAAAAAACCAAGAGATCTTCTTAAAAAAGTTTTTTTTTTATTATTTATACATTAAACGTTTCCGTTTTATTTTCAACAGACAGATGCGGATGTTGTCTTCAGCGTACACCACCTATAAAATGAAGGCTTAAACAGTACTGTCTGGCCTCTTAACGTTTTAATGGTAGTTTCAAATTTTACTATATTTACTCACTTAAACATTCTAAGTATTTCAAAGTAGACAATATAAACGAGACATTTGTCGTTTGCATTTTTAAACATAGTTTCAGTATACAATGTTTCAATGTCTTCAAAATAGTGTTTAGCAATCAACAATTATGTATATTTTTTACCATTGGGTTGTAACTGGTGGTGATTGTAACCAAATATAGGTAGAAACTATACATTTGTATTTTTTTAGGAATTCGAAACACCAAAAATTATTTATTTGAATTGAAAACGTTTTCCTTCCGGTTTTCCTCGATTTTTATGTGTTCAAATAATTTATCTTAAGTTGAGAAACCTTTTTTTTCCCCGTACACATAGCTAAGACAAAGTCAGTATCTAAAATTCAGTATCTTAATTGTAATTTAGCGGAAATTAAAAAAACCAACTTCCTCTCCTATTTGTCTTTTTAAATATTGTTAAAAACAAAAATAGAACAGACACACTTTTACAATAACAGAATTAACGTTTTACGAGTATACACAGTAGTTTCAATTTTACCTCAAGTGTATTCTATTTATTCCGGTCACGTTTTTTGTTGGATCTACTAACACTAAACCAACACAAATAATGCGTATACTGTGATACGCGGACATATTCTAACCATTCGGTTTCCGGCTGATTGAAATAAATTATAATAATAATTAAATAAATCTCTAATATAATTAAAATATCACACGCCTGTAATATACAGTGGCAGAACCACAGGCTAAGTTATTTTTTTGCCTCTTCCTCTAAGCAATTTATCGCTCCTTACCCAAGATGTCTATTTTAATCTAATTACATTTGCTTTTCAATAAGATGTTTCAGCCTGGAAGTAAACCGAAAATTCGAGTCACGCCAAATACGAAAATTAAAATTTAGTGCTTACTTATTGAAATTAATTTAATATTGCCGCCTATCGGTAACATGGGGTTTCTTCTTAATTTGTTTTTAACTTTTTTTTGATAACTAATCTTCTAGTACTTTTTAATAAAATGTATTATAAAAACTGTTATACAGCAACTTTCATTTTAAAAGTTTTCAATAAAACTGTCAAAAAAATATAAATAAATTAGTTGAAATTGTCTTTTCAAAATCAGTGAACATATTTACCTATGCTGTTTATTTATAGGTATATATTACAGACCATAATTATTCGACGTGTTAACCCAAATAATAATTATATACCAAAACACATGTAAATATTTTAATTTATTTCTACTTGGTTTACAAAAAGTATTTTCGAGTACATATTATAATACTATTTAGAACTGCAGTTTTATGTAAAACATATTTTACACAAAAAAAAAACGTTTTCATTAATGCAATATTAATGGGGTGGCACGTCCGGTTCGGTTTAATACATACAGACACACGCGGTGACAGACATTGTGGAGGACAAGAGGGGACTTTAACCTCCGAATATAAATGCGATCCGAGTTGTATATTATAGTAGTACCATAATAATATTCACTTCCTGTCTTCCGCCAATCGCAATAAGTGTAGTGGTACGCTTGTTTGCATAATTTCTTAGGTTTCGTCGTGGTCCCTATACTATATGACCCTTGTATTTTTATATTTTCAGTTTAGCTTTGAAATAATGCCTTTAACCGGTACAATGTAGCCAAAAACATTTATAGGCATTACTGCAAACTCACCATTACGCAATACTATGTCTTTTTCCATGAATACATTTTCTACATACACGTATAATCTCAAATTGTTAAATTATTATAAAAGCAAGTGCGAGTTCGATAATGACCCGAAGGCCCGAAGCTAAGGATCTAGATTCTAGGCCTGGCTCGCCTTCGTTTTAAATACTATAATTATGGAAGTTTATCACATTTATAATAAAACTGTTTTTTGTTTATAGCAATTTTAGACAGTATAAACGACACCATTTGCACGTCCATACAGTTCGATAGTCCATTTTATTAAGTGTGGAAGTAGTTCATTCATAGTTTACTGATCAATAGGATTCAAAAATTTCATAAGAAAAGAAGAGTTC